TATGTGGGTAGCCGCCCACTTCAGTTTCACAGGAGCCATTGAGACAGGTATACAGACACCAGCTGGCTGCCTCAGAAAATGTAAATTGGAAATGAAGCTTTAGTATCCATCTTAATTCCCTTCAGCTGAATAATTTTCCGATACTTTCCCTTTTTTTTTTGCAGTGCTGTTCAACATCTTTGTCAGCGACATGGGATGTTGGCATTGAGTGCACCCTCAGTAAGTTTGCTGATGACACCAAGTTGTATGGTGCTGTGGACTCACTTGAGGGAAGAGATGCCATCCAGGGGGACCTTGATAGGCTTGAGAATTGGGCCAGTGCAAACTGCATGAGCTTCAACAAGTCAAAATGCAAGGTCCTTCACCTGGGTCGGGCCAATCCTAGGCACAAATACAAACTGGGCACAGAGTGGGTTGAGAGTAGCCCTGAAGAGAAGGATTTGGGGGTATTTATAGATGAGAAGCTTAACATGAGCCAGCAGTGTGCTCATGCGGCCCAGAAGGCCAACCGCATCCTGGGATGTATCAAGAGAGCGTGGTCAGCAGGTCAAAAGAGGTGATTCTCCCCCTTTACTCTGCTCTTGTAAGACCCCACCTCGAATACTGTGTCCAGTTCTGGTGTCCCCACCATAAGAGAGACATAGGTCTGTTGGAGCATGTTCAGAGGAGGGTCACAGAGATGATCCGGGGGCTGGACCACCCCTGCTACAAGGACAGGTTGCAGGAGCTGGGATTGTTCAGCCTTGAAAAGAGAAGACTTCGGGGGACCTAATAGCTGCCTTCCAATACCTGAAGGGAACCTACAGGAAGGCTGGGGAGGGACTTTTTACAAGAGTGTCCACTGATAGGACAAGGGGAAATGGGTTTAAGTTGAAGGAGAACAGATTTAGATTAGATCTTAGGAAGAAATTCTTCAGTATGAGGGTGGTAAGACTTTGAAATAAATTGCCCAGAGAAGTTGTGGATGCTCCCTCCCTGGAGGTGTTCAAGGCCAGGTTGGACAGAGCCTTGAGTAGCCTGGTCTAGTTGAGAGGCATCCCTGCCCATGACAGGGAGGTTGGATTAGATGATCTCTAAGGTCCCTTACAGCCTATGCCATTCTAGGATTCTATGATTTTTTGACTCTTTACATTTTTTTGCTCATCGTCAAATGCATGCAAGAACATGCAGTCCCCAAAGACTGTGTTCCCATAAACCTCCTTACAGCTGTACTGCTGGGGAGTCAGGCTCTGGAGCTAGGGAGTAGCTGCACTCAGGAAACACAACGTGTGAGCAGCCTCAGGCACCCAGAGAGCAACCTCAGGGCATTTGCAGCCACGTGGAGCTACTTGGCTAGCAGTTCTAGAGAAGATTTCAGTTTCCTCAGCCCACCAAGCAGCTGCACAGCCTTACTGCTGCAATACCTGGTCCAGAGTAGCAAAATCCTCAAGAGGGCTGTGGGAGAGGGATGGATGGGACCAGAGGTCTCCCCATCACTCCTCCTCCTCTGCAAGCACACAGGCATATGCTACAGTACTGGTTCCACATAGAAGCAGCTTACTGCTTTCTTTTGGAGACATTCCTTTGCCCTCCAGGGATCCATCCTTTCTCCAACCCATGACAAAACCCACTGGGCCCTCCACTATTGCTTGTGGTGGCAAAGCAGGGAATGAGCGAACAGCCTCACTATTGCTTCTGCCTCTGCTCTGCATTTCCTCACAAACTTCTCACATCAGGGGAGTCAGTAGTTCTGATCGTTTTAGACCGTCACTGACGTGTGACAGCCTCACCCAAACCCTGCGACTCCTCCAAGGCTGGGACCATCACTCCTCAGGTTACATTGGCTATGTTTTCAGCTGTGTTTTGAAACAGCTGAACTGGGGTGCTGGAGGCCTCCAGATACTCCAGCCCACATTTAAAAAGCAGGATTCTCAAGGACTTGAATGTTGCTCACCAGCCTGGACTGCGGCACCAAGGACACTGTTGCATCTTCCACAGCCAGGAGGAAATGGCCTGCCTCTTGTAGGCAGGATCTGTACCTTGAGTTAATTGGTTAATTAGTTAACTCAGTCCAGCTGGGTAATAATGATCAGATGCCATACTTGAAACCCTACACTGCCTCTGGAAGCACCGATAGGCAGGCAGACATTGGAGAAAAATAAACTAAAAGGTTCTGCCAACAGAAACAGCAGGCAGGGACTCTGCAAACACAGAGAAAGTCTCGCAAAATAAGAGACCATCCTGGCAGGACAGCGGAAAAGAACAGTCTCCATATGCTGATTTCTAACTCAGCATCCTAAGGAAATCATGCTTGATTACAACCCCCTGGAGTCTAAGGGACTGGTTCCAAGTTTGCAGGAAGAAATCAAAGGGAAGTACCTGGCTTGCTGCTGAGAGCCCAGGCTGACAATTACAATGTAGAGAGAGGGGGAAGCAACATGGAATACTTCTTTTATGAAAGTGTTTTCTGACACAGTCTTGAAAAGACAAAATGGGGCCCTGGATTCAGCTGGTAAATAAGTTATATCCCTCCTGGTCTAGCTAGGTACATTCAGGAATAACCATCCCCTTGGATCTCTTAGTGACTTCTCTCTGCTAGATGCTATAACCAGCCCAGTTCCACATCTCTCAGAACAGCTGACTTGAACTTCAACAAACCAAGAAAGCAGCCACTTACCGAGTTCACTTGAATACATCCATGTTTTATTTGCTTAAATAAAGGCGGAATCTCAATTTTACAATTCCAGTTCTGCAGTAATAGCAACAACCGCAGCAGTATGAGTGGATACAGGGAGAGGATGGCTGTTGTTACAGAACTTTGCAACAGAGAGTTCAAAATCCTGGCTCCTTTGGAAATCATTTAAAACAAATTCAACAATTTAAATATATTACACTGTACTTTTTAAATGGATTTTTAAAACACATAAGCCTAATAAAATAGCCTGTTAGGAATAAAAGATGCTGTGTAACACCCTCTGGCAATATGTACCACCTGCACAGTCTGTGCACAATGAGGCTCTTGAGCTTCAGCTATCAGGATCAACACGCACCCAGGGTACTGCACCCATGCCTCCTGCACTGTGGCTTGTTCAGGCTCTGCCCTCTCCTACAGGAGGTGCCAGTGGGATTCCACGAGAACTGTGCTGGGGAAGCAGCAGTTTCACCTGCAGGGAGATCCCTCAGCAGCCTCTCTCGCAGAGCCGGGAGCACACAAGTTCCCTGTTCTGACGCTGGGACCCTGTGCAAAGCAGCTCTGGGGGAACACATCTGTTCAGAGGATACCTCGAAGGGACCTGGTTTTCTGGAGCCCACAAGCACTCCCTATCTATCCCTGCGAACATCAGCGTCCAGCCCTGTTTAGAAAGATCCTTCGGAAGAACTTTGCATTAAAACTTCAGTCCCTTCCACACACGGCTGCTCTGCAGAGAAGGGCAGGATCACTCTGAGTTCCCCTACAGAAGACTCCTTGCATGCTCAGGGACTGCACGTGGGCAGTGATTGCCTGCTCTAAAGCACAGAGCGAGGCTGCTCGATTTGAGCTACAAAATTTACCATCCAGTCGTTCATCACAGTGGGAACTGTATTCAGCAGCTAGCGGATACACACTCAGGGGAAGCTCTCCCCACGGCAGGCTCCTGTGTTCAAAACTGTGACTTTGCCCATAAGCACAAACTCTCACGCGGGAAGTTGCAGGACATGAGGTTATAATGGTGAAGACAGCAGTCAGCAAGCACTTGTCTCTTTGCTTACAGATAGCTCGGGACTAACACCTAGCAGGGGGCAGGAGCTGGGATCAGCAAAGCCTGGTGTCCTTTTCTAGGGGGTTTCCTGCCTCCCCCCAACACCATTTTTTCTGCCTTGAACAGAGGTAGAACCAGTGCAGCTCTCTCCCCAGCGGGCTGAACACAGCAGCCATTAACAAAGGCGAGTTAACTGAGAGGATATCTTCTACCAATAAAATCTGTCATATGAAGTAGATAAAACATCCCAGATTCCTCGTTAGGCAGCAAGCGCCAGGACAATGGCAGGAGTTACCTGTGCTCAGCAGCACTGCATCTGACACAGCAGGTAACAAAGCGAACGGTTCTACGTTGCAGCACCCAGACGGGAACATCCGTGCTGCAGCAACTGAAGGCGCAATCCACCCACTAACACAGCACCGCAGTCCCAGCCCCGCACACCGAGTGATTTAACAGCTGACCATGCCTGACTCCCCCGGCCACCTGCACATCTGGAAGACATCCCACGCATCTACCATCCGGTCTGCTAGAGCATACACTGGATGCTGGACACAGCAATTACTTGGGACAGAAACTAGCTGAAGTTTCACACTCCTGAACTCCTGAGCTAACTCTAAACCCTTTGACATGACCTGGTAAGCATCCACATCAGTATTTTTCACCCAGGGCTGCAAGGTATGAGAAGTGAGATCCAGTGTTGAGCCTCCAGAAGACAGGAAACATATATTAAACAAGAAGCAGACAGTCTCTCCACAAAATAACACCCTCACAAGACAAAGGTAAGGAAAACCAGACCAGAAATAAGCAGCGACGAAGAATTGATGCTGCCACATTCAAACACAGGTCCATCTCTCCTTCAGATGTTGCTTCAGATCAGAGCTCTTAACAATTCTCAGCACAATTCAGTCTCAGGACACAATATACTTATCCCAAACAGATACACACATCTCAGCCACTCCAGTATTCAGCATTCTCACAGTCGCATGGGCTAGAGTCTCTACGGCAGGTTTAGTTCAGGACGCTAAGCAGACTTTCCTTTGACAGTAAGGTCATTAGTTTAGTGTGTCTAGTATTTTTTTTTTTTTTTTAGTTCAGGAGTAAAATACTTCAGAGAGCGTCTAGAGTGCTCTCAGCTTTGTTCTGCAGGCAGTTCTTGGTACAGATCATATCACTACTGTCTTTAGTGGATTTAAAGGACGCTAACCCAGTCCTTTAAACCTGCTAAAATAGGCAGAGATGGAAGCAGGACTATGCTGACATGCTCTTTTAACAACTCCCTCCTGCAGATACATACTCCGTGCCCGAAAACTCCAGCCAGAATTCCAGTGGTGAGGCTGCAACTCCCCAGTGAGCAAACCACCTACTGTCCTTGTGGTTATTCTCCTCAGAGTGCCCCAGAGCTGCCCATGCTTATTGGCTTGAGCAACATTCCCAAAGCAGCAGCCACTGTTAACAACAAGAAGACCCTGATTTTGAGCTGGAGTGCAGGTCGATGGTGTGGCCCAGCATGCAGTGCTCTAGCTGCTCCTCCACCGCCAGCACTTGTCGCACAGCCTCCTCAAAGGCCACTGCCACATTGGTGTCATCCTTGGCACTAGTCTCCAGGTATGGATAGTTACCGTTTTCCATGCACCAGGCCTGGGCCTCCTCTGTGCTCACTTGTCTCTCGAGTTTGTCTATCTTGTTGCCCAGGACAACGAATGGGAAGTGTTCAGGGTCCTTCACATCAGCATAATAGACAAACTCCTTCTGCCAGTTACTGAGGTTCTCAAAGCTCTGCCGGTCATCCACACTGAAAGTCAGCAGGCAGCAGTCTGCTCCCCTGTAAAAGGGGGTTCGCAGGCTCTTGAATCTCTCCTGTCCTGCAGTGTCCCAAATCTGCAGGGTCACAAAACGTCCATCCACCTCCAGGTCCCGGTTTAAGAACTCCACACCAATCGTGTGGAAAGCCTGCGAGTCGAACTTGTTGGTGACGTACCGGTTCATGAGGGAACTTTTCCCAACTCCACCATCCCCAAGGAGAATGACCTTTAAGAGCAAGGACTTCCCACTCATTGCAGCAGGACGGAAAGGAGCAGTACCAAGGCAATCTGCAGGGTTCAGAAACAGTAAAAAATAGCTATATGACTTGTGGATTCTGCAAAAAGTCGCACATGGAAGAACAAAATATGGTATTTCCATCCTCATTTTGGAATAAGCTTTGTATATAGGAGGTAAACTCTCTGGTAAGATAAGCTCTGATAAGATGGGAATAGGACAAGCTTTCAGACACACAAGTCCTCCCTCAGATCCAAAATGGAAGCAGCAGGTCACCACTGCAAGTGCAAGGTGAGAACAACTGTTGAGAGTTTAGTATCAATTATACCACTTTTGGTGAAAACTCGGTATCTGAAAGCTTGACTAGTTTTTCCAAACATACCATCACTAGTTAAACATCTCTTCTGGCCTGTGTCCTCAGGCTATCACAGAAACAGCAAAATCACCAGGGATCATCATCACCAGGCCTTCCTTTCCACTGTACAGTCACTAGCTAAATAATTTCTCCTATCTGACTCGCTCTGCTGGAAGGATGTGAAAGATGTACAGGCCTAACTCAATACAAACCAGTTGTTAATCACCCCAGGGACACTGACCTTACAAGTGGAGCTGCACTTGCTTCCTGCACGTGATCTCTATGGCTCAGAAGGGGTTTCCCAGGCACAGAGACCCAGCTTCTCTGCTGCTCTTTTCTGGCAAAGCTTTTCACAGGCCAGCTTGCTAGGGCACGGGTGCAAGTTCACATTGCAACAACTGCAACACCACAGGTTCCTTAGTCAGAAGTCACAAGAGAAAGGCCAAGTGCCAACCAGTCCTCTCCCTCTCAGGGACATTCTGCAAGCAAAGGTAAAGGCCTGGCATGGAATAAGAGATTTGTTTGGCTGCTGTCTGCACTGCACCTGGTCCAGAAATACAGCGTTTCTGCCTCCAGGCCTCTCCAGGGAATGTCTTCCTCCAGCATAACAGTCGCTAAAAACCAAATATCAGTCAATGAGGTTGCCAGAGCTGTGCTTGGCGCACTGCCTTTCAATTTGTAATGTTGACCCAGACTGGAAGAACAACAGGAGAGCTCTAGGAAGCAGAAAGTGCGGTACTGATGGCTGGAGTACAACAGGCAAGAACAAGGCACTAAGAACAGTTTCCCTTGCCCTAAGTAAAATGGAACACAGCCCATTTCTGACCAGGACAGAACCAGTACATTATGGATGCTAAACCCAAAGTAAGAAAAACATAAATTGAAAGAGCTCTGGCGTGAGTGCACAGGCTGTGTAACCCATGTCTCCCCTCAATCCAGGGGATGTGAATAGCGGCATCTAGCTTAGCCTGCCTATCCACACACTGGATCACTCTGGAATCTGATCTGAGGATTGAACATACACCTGAATCTGCTAACCAGAAAAGTGAGCTAGCTGGCAGGAGCCTGGCACAACAAGAGAGAGGATTTGGCTTGCTTACACCTGCTACCAACATTCCTGGGAAGGGTGTGGACACTTAGTGCTGCTTAGTGATGACACCACCACACCAGCCTCCAAACAAATGAAACAGGAGCACTGAGCACTGCTCAGATCAGCACTCCTATTTCCTCCAGGCCAAAACCCACTCTCTGTATTAATTGCAGGGGGCCCTGTTCAGCTTTGTTTGTTCTTTTTGCAGCTCTTTCAACCAGTGCTTACCACAAAGCCAAGATCAGAAACTTCTGTTTCAAGTTAGTTTTTGCGGAAAGTGCAGAATCTAACTAAAGCCTCACCAATTTCACTTCCCCTGCCCAGCAACACCCCAAATCAAGCATGTCTGAACTAACTTGATGGGACATTTGAGAAGCATCTGTGCAACCCAGTGGTTCTGAAGTAAAGAACAAAATGCCAATGTCATGAGACAAAGAGGAATTGCAGCATAGCTCCCTGGGGCTGATGGCTTTGGAAAATTCTGCCCTGCGCAGGCAAGCTTTTCAAAACCCATGCTCTTCCTTTTCCAAACCCTTGCTGAGAGGGTTTAAGATGGTCCCTGTCCTCTGTCCCAAAGCCCTTCCTGACACACACCATCAGCCCTGACAAGAGTTTCTGTTTAGAAACGGTTTGTCAGCGAGTGACTAGCAGGCTTTTTAAAAACGACTAACAGGGAAGCCAGGCTACTG